TGTCTTCCATATTTGAGATTTTATTGGTTGTGTTGAGGATCAGTACAGACATTTCACTTTGTACACAATTCTTAACACACGTACCAAAAATCTAGAACGCCATGTATTGGTTTTTTTTTTTTCAGTTATTCCAGTGACTTTCCAGCTTCAAATTTGGAGGCAAATTTCCCAGAAGAGGATTAAGTACCAGTATCCTCAAATGAGCTTCTTGCATCTTAACACATATAATTGCCGTGTTCCCTGTGGTCTCAAAGCAGTGAGCGGCATTGCCTATTGTCAGATCAGTGCGAGCGGTCACTACAGCAAAACGCATAGCTGTCTGCTCCAGCTGATGCCAATGTGCAGGCTGAAGGAGGTGCAGAGCTGAAGCTCCCTGGAGCACAGTAGTCTCTTGATTTCTGGGACATCACCCCACCAATTCTCTCCCTTTCTGGGTAAGATGGACCTCACCTGCTCACCACAGCACAGCCAAGTACCCTGTAGGCTATTTTTTTTTTTTTGCTTTAAGAAAACAACAGTAGCGGGCTGGGGATTTAGCTCAGCGGCAAAGGGCCTGCCTGGCAAGAGCAAGGTCGCAGGTTCGATTCCTGGTACCGGAAGAAAAACAGTGAAAAAACAAACAGTAAAACTCCACAATTTTTAAAGTGCTTACAAACATATTTAAATCCTTTAAAAAAAAAATCACTGAATCCTTATCATGGAGTGAGGGGAAGCTGTAAAACCAAAATTAATCAATGCTTAATCAACTATTACACATATTGGTGTGCCTCAATTCAATTTTGCTAGTTATATGTATTTTAAATTGTCAGGGGAAAGCATATACAAATGAGGCAGCCGGGCGGTAAAGTGGCGCATGCCTGTAATCCCAGGACTCGGGAGGCTGAGGCAGGAGGATCCCTTGCGAGTTCGAGGCCAGCCTGGGCTACCAAGTGATCTCAAGGCCAGCTTGAACTGCATAACGAGATCCTGTCTCAAAAAGACAAAAAAAAAGGGGGGGCGCTTGACTTCAATATCAATATCTACTTGCCTGTGGTAACACGAACTTTTGTGTTCACCATTCCGCCACACTTTTTCTTTGCCTGGGTCACATGTTTCTACTTCCGAGTACTCCGGGACTGGTGTTGCAGCATTCCTGAACAAATCACAGACCACACTTGAAAAGTGTACACAACTAGAACTCGGACCTTGCCACAGGTTTTTCTGGCCCTTCCACTCCTTTCAAGGCACTTCCGCATCCGGGACTTTGTCTTCTCCCCGCCCCGCCTCAAGCCCTTTCTTCTTCCGGTCAAGATCTGCAAGGGCTTGGGAGTTGGTGCAAGACCTGGGCCTTCACTTTCTCAATGAAAGTGACCTATGTACGTTACGTACGAGCACTTTCTCTAGCGGGTTTTATCCCCCGCTCCTTTGTTTCTAACTACCTGTAGTTAAGCAAAAAAAGACCTCAACAGTTGGCTGGTGTTGGGGAGAAAAGTGTATTGAATTTTGCTGAAGTGTGACCCAAGCTTAGGCGGCCGGCCTGGAAAAGGTGATCTCGGCCCAAGAAGTGGCTGTAAAAGGCGCCTGTCCAGCAGGGCCCGAAACGGGAAGCTAAATGCAATGGAAGAAGCAGCACGGAAACCTGGATTAAAAATCCACCATCGGGTGACTGCTTAGTGACCAACAGGGAACCCACATTTCCTCTTTCTGCTCCAGGAGGTAAGAGCAGTTTCTTTCTTTCTTTCTTTTTTCTTTTAATTAGAACTTTTTAAAGGTATATTACACAATTCACCTCACCTTTGAAAGTGCTATATACAATTCCATTTTCAATTATATTCACAGATCCTCTCTAGCATTGACAATTAATTATCATGACCTTCCCCCCAAATGATATAGCCCTTTCTCCCGCCCCACCACCTGGCCGAAGGCAACCATTAATCCACTTTCCGTTTTTATAGGCTTGCTTGTTCTGGGTATTTCCTATAAATGGTATCTTATAATAATAATGATCTTTTGTGTGTGACTTCTTTTATTAGCCTAATCTTTTTCTTTGTTGTTGGGGTTCGGGGGGTTGTTTTCTTTTCTTTTTTCTTTTTTCTTTTTTTTTTTTTTTTGCCTTTTAGAGACAGGGTTTCACTATGCAATTCAGGCTGGTCTTGAACTCACCTTGCAGCCCAGTCTGGCCTTGAACTCCCAGAGATCCTCCTGCCTCAGCCTCCAGAGTTCTGGGATTACAGGCCTGCGCCACCACGCTAGGTCTTAGCCTAATGTTTTTTTAAGGTTCATCCATTTTGTCATCACCTTGTTCCTGCTTATGGCTGAATTACATGAGACTGTATTGCCACAGTTTCTTTATCCATTGATTAGTTGGTAGATATTTGGATTGTTTCTGTTAGGCAAACAGACATTACCAGGCCTGAGGGGCAAAGGAATGTCCATAACAACGTGTGTTGCTAGCTATAATTAAGAATCAAAGACCTTATAATCATTTATTCTCACACCCAAAGACCCAGGCCTCTATTTCTAGAACAAGACCTACAGCATTCCTGGTTGCCATAGCCTAGGGCCCAATGGTATCCTAAGAGGAAATACTCCTTAAAGTCCCTTCCATCTTGGTCTGGGACCTGATTTGATTAGAACTTTTTCTTCTTTTCCTAGGTTTTTGATTTGATTAAGCCCTCTGAGGGAGCACTGCCCCTCTGAAAATGACAAGGAAGACATTTTTGAGTTACTGACATTCTAAAGTAACCTCTAAGAAAAACATGGAAAAGCATTATAATCAGCCTACATCCCTGAATTCCAGAAGTAACTTTTGTGTGCATAAAACAAAAGTTCGGTGATACCTGAACTCACACTCCGTGCAGATGCTTTTTTATGGCACCGCCTGCCTTCTCACTTGAAGGTACAATTCACTGCATATTTATTTTACAATAAATTAATTCACTCTATACCCCATGCCGACCTCAAACTAGAGGTGATCCTCCTGCCTCAGCATCCTGAATGCTGGGATTACAGGCATGCATACCACACTGTGCTCACAAATTCTTTCCTTAAAGGCACAAGACTGAGAAGTAACAGCCTGTTATACACAGGGTCGGGCTTGCCAGTGACAGTTTCCCCTTTTTGGTTGTTCCTGGCATAATGCTTCTGTGAATATTAGTGTAAAATTTTTTTGCATGGAATTATATTTTAATTTCCCTTGGATATATACCTAGAAGTAGAATTACTGAGTCAAATGGTAACTGTATGCACTTTGAGGAACTGCCAGTGACTATACCATTTTACATTTCTACCAACAATGTATGAAGATCCCAATGCCTCTAAAACTTCACCAAAACTTGTTATCATCTGCCTTTTCAATTCTGGCCTTCTTAGTGGATGTGAAGTGGTATCTCCTTATAGTTTAGATTTTCCTAATGGCTAATGGTGGTAAACCTAGTTCCTTTCCATTTCCCAGGTAACCCTATACAACCCTGGCATTAGTAATATAAATTCAACATTAGATTGCATTAATGAATAAAATGTTAAAATAAATCCACTTCATTCATCCAGAATGGTAAATGCTTTATTTTTCCTAGGTCCCATGCTTCAGCCTTCACTACTTACATACCAAGTTTTACATTGTCAGATTCCAGGGTGGGAGGGAATCTTGGGCTCTCTCCTAATTAGAAAGGGAAATTAGATAATTATTTAAAATGTTTCAATTGCTTTGCATTACTTTAATGGCTAATTTCACAGATCAACTTGCCATAGCACTAAGATGTATGGTCAAACATAATTTTAGCTGTTTCTGTAAAGATGTTTTCAGATGAGATTAACATTTAAATAAGTGGACTTTGAATGAAATCAACTGCCCAGATAAGGTGGGTCCATCTCATTCTGAGATCTAAGTGGAACAAAAGATTGACCTCCCATCACAGAGAGGTAAGGCTGCTAGCAAATGGCCTTTGGACTTTAAACTGCAACTCTTTCAGGGTCTCTAGCCTGCTGGCCCACCGTGCAGATTTTGTAGCTGCTGGTCTCCATAATCACAGGCGCCATAGCTTCCGATAAATCTCTGACCCTATGTATAAGTAATATTTTGCTTCTTTTCTCTCAGGAATTTTGACTAATACAACCACATTTTGAAAAAGTCCAAACTTCTGGTGATTACCTAGCTTTCTTGTCCATTCCTGCTGCTCTTGTCATTGAACATTTATTTGTTGAATTCTTCACACCAGCATCCCTTGGTGGTTAATGTTTACAATTATGTCCTGATTCTGTAGGGTCATAGCCCCTGGAAAACATGATCAAGATCAGTGAATTTGAGATAAGTATCTTCTCTTTCACCTTGAATCTTAGCATAGTACATTGCAATTATTTATTCATTTGTCCTCCTTTTAGCCATTGAAATTCTGCACCAATAACTAAATCTGATCCTACCTATCTGGCTTTTTAGTTTGTTTTTGCACGTTCAGAACAAGGGTCCTGCTAGGTGTTTTCTGTGTAATCCATAGGCACCCCATTACAATATATGTGTTTCCAAGGTGTAACCATCTCAGATTCATCCAGGTCTTTAGTACACAATCATTTTTTTTTTCTTTTTTTTTTTTTTTTTTTTTGGTTTTTGGTTTTTCTCCGGTACCGGGAACCGAACTCACGACCTTGTGCTTGCCAGGCAGGTGCTTTTGCCGCTGAGCTAAATCCCCAGCCCCAAGTACACAATCATATATACTTCCTAAGTGGTTCTTTTGTTTGTAAATTTTCTCCTCTTGAATCTTTCCCACACTTCCTTGACTATAATCTGAATTTGTTTTTCAAAGTGCAAATCTGAAGTTATTACTCCTTTAAAAACTTTTAATGCCATGACATTATGAAGTTTAAGGTAAAAAGCTCAGGGCTCCTTTGGGACCACCTAATCTGTCCTGTCTGGTCTGTCTCCCACCAGCCTCTCTCTCCTGTCATTTCTTTGGCTCACAGAATAGAATTTGCCCTCTCACCATAAACCATGATGTGCACTGTTCCTGCTCTCCTCCAAAGTTCTCTTCATGATGGAGGGTTTTTTTTCTTTTATGGAAATACAGAGTCAATAAATGGTTTAAAGCTGTCTTACACATGTTTTTTACAACTTTGCTTTGCGCTATGTTCTGAATGTCTGTGTCGTGCCCCCTCTTCATATGTTGAAATCCTAACCCCTAAAGCGTTGCATCAGGAGGAGGCCTTGGGGAGATTTTTAGATCATGAGGGCAGAGCTTGCCTGAAAGAGATTAATGAGTTAGTTCATAAACAGGCTCAGACAGCCCATTTGTCTCTGTCCCTGTGTGCAGAAGCAATGAGAAAGTGACTTCCGGGAAATAGGCCCTCACTGACCCCCTGTTTATCAGCACCTTGATCTTGGACTTCCCTACCTGGAAAACAGCAAGGAATAAATTTCTGCTGTGAATAAGCTACTCAGTTGAGGGTATTTGGGCATAGCAGTCTGAATGCACTAAGATACTCACAGAGCACGTCTTATAAGCCATCATTAGAATAGTGACACGTGTCTGTGCTTCTTTTGAGAGCCCAGTGACCTTCTCTTTGCTTGGGTACTGTTCAGAGCAGTCCCTGATATTTAGCCCCATTCGACCTATGTTGTCCAGCCTCTGCCCTGGCTTTCTTGACTGCCAGGCCCTTCTCCCTCTGTGTGTTCCCAACCACCTTATAAGCCAGGTAACACTGACCCGGGCAGAGTCCCTGGACAGGATGTTTTGTATTATTCTTTTCACCATTGGTAGACCACTGAAACCTGTATCTGCAGTTCCTAAACTGTATAAACTTTTAATTTTTTTTTTTTTTTCTTTTTGAGACAAGGTTTCGCTATGCAGCTCAGGCTGGCCTTGAGCTCACTTTGTAACCCAGGCTGGTCTCAAACTCACAACGATCCTCCTGCCTCAGCCTCCTGAGTGCTGGGATTACAGGCGTGCGTCACCACGCCCAGCCCTATAAACTTTTCATCTCCATGTGTATAAGGGTTTAGAAATTGATTCGTGATCTCTCATAGGTTAAAATTACAGACACAAGTACTCATACACACATGTAATTTTAAATTGATAAATTTTAATGATCTCGCAAAACATGCCACTGTTCCAAATGGTTACCTTCTGCTCACTCATAGCTGCAGATATTTTATTTAGACATTTTAATAAATTTAGTAAGAAGTATAGGTGTGTTCACAGTGTTAACTGAGCTGATAGGTTGGAAAAGCTAAAGAAAATCGATGCCGATTCACAAGTGTGAATCCCCAGGGCTTCAGGTGTTCTGAGGGGCGGGGCACAGGATTTGCTGTTCATTGCATTGCTTTGCATTGCTGCCATCAAAAAACGGGGGGGCGGGGTGCGGCTGGGGAGATAGCTCAGTGGTGTAAGCGCCTGCCTGGCAAGCACAAGGCCCTGAGTTCGATTCCCCTGTACAAAAAACAAACAAACAAACAAAAACCAGGAGGATCCAGCTTACTGCCTGGTGGCCCAGCAGCCCACGCCTTAGGCGGCAGGGGCTCTCTGGGTCGACCCGCAGCCCGACCGCGGGGAAGCCGAGCACCTCCTCCTCCCAGCCCCGCCTCTTTCCCCCTGGGTTTTCCAGCTTTGGTGGTGGAGGTGGAGCAGCTGCCGCAAGGCTGCAGCAAGGCTGCAAATCCTCTGCTCTGATCCAGGCCTCGGTTCCAGGTTAGTGAGCAGGTCCACTTCTGGCCAGCCTGTGCTGCGCCCACTGGGACAAAGAGCGCGACACTTTCCCTCCATAGGGCGGGCCGGGGTCCAGGGTGGAGAAAGTGCCCGAGTGCCTCGAAGTTTGAGTTGGTTCAAGTCTGAGCAAGGAACAGAGAGAGGCACCCTCGCAGGTAGGACTGGGCTGGCAAAGGGCGGTGAGGATCAAAGCCTGCTTTTGGTTGTTAAAGGATGGAGGGACAGCGGCTCTGGAAGGGTTGCTCTAGGGAAGGACGGCAAATTCCTGTCCAGCGTGGCCTGCGAGAACAGGCATCCCCTCCCCCAGCCCCAGCCCCAGCTCTGCTGCTCCAGGAAGTGAGCACCATTTACCCTTCACCCCGGGAGGCCGGACTTCTCCCAGAGGAAGTTGGGGGCTGAGCCACCCCGGGTGTCCGCAAAGGTCAGAGGCCGGCATAGGAGCGGCTCCCGGCTTTCTCAGAAGGGAAGTGAGCCAAGTGTGGGTAAGGCAACGTAAAACTCCTCGGACTGCCCTAAAGAACTTTGATCACCAGATGCTACTCACATCTGGAGCATCCCTCGGGATGCCCGCTGTTCTGCGGCTGCCATGTCCCTGTCGGAACTCAAGATATAGATACTTCTTGGCCTTTCTCACAGTGAGTGAGTTCACTGAGGTGGGGAACATTTTATTTAATTTAATCAGTCAATTGAGACAGAGGAAGGGGGTGGGGGTTAAAATTATAGGCGTTCCAGCCAAGAATTCTGGCCCTTACACTTCAAACCCTGGCTGTGTGCCCTGGCCCTGTTGCTTGACCTCTCTGAGCTTTCATTACTGTTGTCTATAAAATGGGTAGAGTAACGTGTATAATTTAAGAATTTCTTTAATAACTGGGCAAATGTTTGAACACATAGGAGAATGGCTGACATAGTAAATACTCAAATTAATCGTATTGAAGAACTCTGTGCCTAGCTTTAAAAAAAGACAATCAAAATACTTTTGAAATAATATACAAGGGAATAAAATATGCTAAGTATGCATATGTTAAACAAGAATATGAACTCTTACTTGTAGCATCTAAACAAGTTAAAATATAACAGACTTTTAAGGTTTAAGAATCGCAGGGGCCAAGGATATAGCTCAGTGGCCGAGGATATAGCTCAGTGGCACAACGCCTGCTTGGCAAGGGCGAGGTTGTGAGTTCGATTCCCAATAGCAAAAAAACAAAATTAAAAGATACCACAAGTACAGAACAATTTTATAATGTAACTTTTAAAAAACTAACACTGACTTTAGGAAAAGAAAACCTGTCCAGGGCAGTATTTTAAGAATTTGCAAAGCTATTTTCTTAAGTTTTTGAAATGCACAGGAAATAATTTTTGAAGTTAAAAACATTTGAAATTGATCATATTCCAATTGGAATTCTTAATGGTGCTGTCAGATCAGTTGTAGATAGCAGGTGAGGTGGACTGTGGCCCTGCATACACGGGAGGCGGCCCAGCCCTCTCACTCTGCCTCTCCTGAGCCCCTCGCCGCCGCGCGGACCCGTCAGTCACTGAATTTTGCCCTGAAACCCACTCTGACAAGGATGTGTGCTTCCGCGCTACTGCTTCAGATCTGAATGACATCGTCTGTAACTCTCCTCCATCTTTCTAGGGCTTTTTGGCCCCTGTATTGTATCAACCTGGGAAGAAAGATCCTTTCTGTAGTTGAGTACCTCTGAAGCCTTAATCTGCATGACAGTGATCTCGGAGGTCATTTTTAAAGTGCAGGCTCTGAATTGATAAAGAGCACCTGTGTATGTCAAAGCCATCGGTTTGCAGACCACAGATACCTTTTTCAGGCCTCTGCTTCCCATCCCACTTAGTCAGGCGTTTGGCCACTTTCATCTTGTAATTTGACCCTCGAAGGTCCTCAGACCCCAGGGTTTTCAGGTCTGCACCCCTCATGCCGCCAGACTCCCTTTTCTCCGCCCATCCACACTGGTCCCAAGGAGACCAGCAGCTTCCCTGGTCTCTGGCTTGCGCTGGCCTGTAGCAGGCCGTCAAGGGCTTGCTGGGTGTGGACTTGGGCACTTAAACCTGCACCAGCCCTGGGCTCCTTCCCTTCACAACTGCTTCCTTCCTTCAACCTCAGCTATTCCCTTTGACAAGAGACATCAACTCTTACAGCATCTTTTTCATTCAAGAATCTGGGTCAACATATTAGATGGGGGAGGGGGTGGGCTGGGGTGGAGTGCAGTGCTGGAGTGCTTGCCCAGTATGAATGGGATTCTGGGTTCAATCTCCCACCACTGGGAAAAAAGAAAAAGAAAAAACATGGGCAGCTAATGAAATGGAAAATGAGCCCTGTAGTCAATTTTAAATTTTCTTAAGAGCTTTGTAAAAAAAGTGCAATGAGTAAAATTAAATTTAATATATTTTATTGAACCCAGTGCACTTGAAGTGTTAGCATACGAAAGCATTATAAAATATTAATGAGATACCTTGGGTTATTCTTAATAAATCCTCAAACTCTGATATGTATTGCGTACGTTAATGATCATTTCTGATTAACCACTCTTCCAAGTGCTCGCTAACTGCATAGAACTATTATATTCGACAATATGGTTCTAATTCACGCTAGAGGATCAGAAACCAAGCTGTCCCTTTTTCTCCATTTCTTTACCTTCTTCCCCTTCCCTTCTCCGCCATTTTTTCTTCTTCTCAACTATACTGAGTTACAGTTGTATCTGTCTAGTCACAGATTGAAGCATGCAGTTCTGTTTGGGCACGTGTGCAGTCCAGAAACACCATGAAACAATGGACATATTCAGGCTTGTTTATCCCTTCCTGGACCCAGGACCTCTGCTCTCCTTGCTTAACCTTGAAATTGGGCCTGACCTCCTGGTACCAGCAGCTGCATATTCTGCCCATTCATCTGGGCTGAGGAGAGCTCCGGGGAGCCATGTATGCTCTGGGCCTGAGGAAGTTTGGAGAAGCCACTTGTCTGTAAAGATTTGGAGTTTTAAAGTTCCATTTGCACTGCTGGTTACTGCGTGACTACCTGCACTCACGATATGCAAAGGACATTTACTTTACCCTCAGTTTTTCCTCATGACACTTTGCAGTTTGTCTCTTCTCACACCCTTGCGCCTTGGATTCTAAGGATGTGCTTTCAAATGCTGTACCTTTGTCTTTTCTGGGATTTTGTTGAAGTAGAATCATACAGTTTTGCTGTTTGGTATCTCATGTCGCATAATGCTTTTGAGATTTATCCTGTTGTATGTATCAGCAGTTTCACTTAACTGATTATGTTAAGCTGCTTCTAAAGTTGCCTACCTACATTTTAAGTTTGGGTTAGAGTTCATCGTATTTAGTAAACTGTGACCTGGCTTCATTGTAAGCAGTTTGTGACCTACTCTTACAACAAGTAGCAGGGTCTCAGCCATTGACAGAACTGCGTTCCAGTAAGACAGTAGGAACCCTAACCAGTCAGGCTGTTTATACGGTACTTCAGTATCTGTGTATGGCTTCTTTTTCACTGAATAGAAATAAAATAACTTATATGGTAGGGTGAAGTATTCTGAATGATTTGTTCCACACCGCTTCCTGATTATGATTCACAATAAGTCCAGTTAAGAGTTGCAAAAAAAACATGACAGGATCAAAATGTGCAGCCGGTCTTTAAATTTTAAAAGTGTATTCCAGAAAAACACACATTGCCATTCATCTCCTTCAAAATACACCCGCTCTCTTCAAACACACTTATCTCATCGTACCATCGCTTTCTGAAAAGATTCTCGAGGTCTTCTACCATAGCTTTACGAGGTGTGATCAAACATACAGTATTGTGAGTGCTACTTCTAATTTCCATCCAGCTGGAAGACAGGCTCATAAAAACATTAACAGGTGTCTTCATCCACCTTATTCACCAGACCTGGCACCATGGAACTTCTGGCTGTTCCCCACAGTCAAAATGCCCATGAATGGTAAATGGTTTGAATTAATTCAGGACATGGATATAGCCACAACAATCCCACTAAAGACTCAGAGAGAGGACTTCCAGAACTGCTTCAAAAACTGACAAGAAAAATGGGATAAATGTGTTCTAAAAGAGGAGAAATATTTTGAGAGGCATTAATGGCAATGTGTCTTTTACTATAATAAATTTTTAGGATTTAAACATTCACTAGTTTTCCATTGCACCTCATAATTTATGTCTTTTAACAGTAATATGCCGTTGTGTGACATAGCACAGTTTGTCCCTTTACCAGTTAGTGTTTTTGGTTTTTTTGTTTGTTTGTTTCCCAGTTTCGGGAATTGAACTCACAACCTTGCGCATGCCAGGCAGGTGCTATGCTGCTGAGCTAAATCCCCAGCTTGACCAGTTAGTGTTTTTATAGATGGATTTTTTTCTGGGCCATTTTAATGAGGCAGAAACTCTTCCTTAAGTGTATTCTGAGTGAAATTTTGCCCGAACTGAAAGCATGGATATGTGTCTGTTGAGGGAGATGGGATGCTTCTATTAAAATTGTATGCATAATACGACTACAATTTTTTTAACATTACAGTTTCATAAATTGGCACATGGGACCCCTACTGCACTGCCAACATTGAGCCCAGCTATAATATCAGCAGTAAGTTGTAATTTCAAATTCAAATCATGCTTCTCATTTCTTGTGATAGGTGCACTTTTAGGCTCCTGGGTCTGTGGGAAAGCAAAGAAGAGATTGGGCCTCTGCCTTTGTAACCCAAATTTAACAAAGACAACACACCCTCATGGTGTTTGTGCTAAGTGAGGTGATGCGGCTGTGACCAGAGATACTAACAGACCAACTAAATGCTTGCTTTCTGCAGGTGTGGTTAATGTTAACAGTTCCTCAGATGAAAGGTAACACCAATTAGTAATGCTAACTACGCATTCAGTTTATTCACTTGCCAGCAATTACATTTTGTACCCTTTAGGGAGAAGAGGCAGGTAAAGAGGCACACAGAGCCCCAGCTCTGTAGCCTGATTGTCTATACTCAAATACCTGCTCAGCCATGTGAACTAGCCACTTTGCCTCCCATTGGGATAGCCATAAAGTCGGGTTTTAAGGGTATTGCATTGCTCTTACTAAGCAGGACGGAGTGGGATCCTGGTCCAGGATGTGAGGGAGCACCACAGGACTCTAGATGGCAGCACTCGGGCCCCACCTTGGGGCACTTGTGCCTGCCAGGGTACCACACAGTAGCCCTGCTCAACTGTGCTTCTGTCTTACAGCTTCTTTCTTTGGGGCACTTTCTCAGGCCTTTTCTTCTAATATGAGTGTTGTTACTGGCAGGAAGTTCGAGTTCCTTAAATCTGCCCAACGTGCAGCATGAGGAAGAACTGGTAGTTTTATAGGTCTGCAGCCTACTTTGAATCATTTTGTATCAGTGTGCATCTGCGTTTGCTGGGGACCAGTCAGAGACGAATTAAGGAATTCCACCTGCTCCCAGACATCCTGTGGCCTGTCCTGGGGCCAGAGTCATTGCACCATCAATGGGCAGTGTGCTCTGATTTATTTATTTATTTTTTTTTGGTAACCCAAACCCAGCTCCAGCTAAGCAACAAATGTCTTCCAGTGAGAATGATTCAGTGCTGGAAACAGATTTTCCTAAAAAGCCAAAAATACATGCTCACTATGATTTCAAATAATGGTAATATTAAAGTCAGTCATTGTCTCTGTCTCCTTATTGAGGGACCGAATATGCGTACGTTTATGCGGAGTTGTCCTATGAGGGATAAAGAAAACATGAGAACGCGCCTGTGATCCCACCCTCTGCAAGGTTGAGATAGGAGGAGTACAGGTTTGAGCCCAGCCTGGGCAACTTGGTGAGACTCTGTTTCAAAAATAATGGGGATGTAGCTCACTGCAAAAGACCTGGGTTTTGCCCAAGTATTGCCTCCCCCACAAGCATGAAATTTCAACTAGTTACAGAAGTGTTAGAATATTTCTCCTTTTTATAGTCACTCCTGTTTTTTTATACTTTCCTGAGAAGGTGAGCAGGAGGAATTCCAGGGCTGTATGGAACAGAGGCGGGCAGGTCCTCACCACCAACATCTTTGCCTTTGGAGATAAGACACCAGCGAATGATAGCAAAGAGGTAAAAAAAGTTCACTCAAAAAGTCTGATCATCTGTGGAGAGAGGGTGACGTTCTACCTTTTCATTCATCCAAAGTTGAGGACCTGTGCATCCATCACTGTAGTGACTACTGTGGAGATACCATGAATTAAAAAAAAAACAAAAAACAGTGTCTGATCTCAGGGGCTTAGCATCCCACTGGGGGGGATTCAGATAATTGTGATATCAGGAAGGAATAAGGAAAACCAAATGTCGTAGGTGTACAGCGAGTGATTGTGTGGCAGAGCAGACCCTTCTGCTAAGGGACATGCAAGAAGTGGGCCATGCAACAGCGGGAGAAAGTGTCTCCCTTGAGCATGAGTAGTAAAGGTAGAAGTCCTGAGGCAGCAGTGTGTTTCGGTAGTTTTAATATTGAGAATGTGTTTTAGTGAGGAAGGTAGAGGTCAGGCAAATGAAGGGTCACACAAGGCCCCACCTGTCCAGGGTCTCTTGTTTGTCCCTCCAGCCAATAAGAGTAAATGAAAATCATGATCAGTAGTTTAATAACGTTTGAAATTAGTATTTCTTGAGTTGGGATAATGAAAGTGTTAGAAATGGGAAGGAGAAGCTCTTGTTATCCCAAGTGTCTGACCTCTTTTCCCCGCACAGGTCTCTCTCATATCCTAATGCTTTTTCCTTTATTCTTCTACTTAGGCTTCCATAAGCAGAACCATCTTAGAAGTCCGGGCCGAGTAGGAGAGCAGCTACAATGACTTCAAGAGTTCTAGTGGACATCCGAGAGGAGGTGACCTGCCCCATCTGCCTGGAGCTCCTGACAGAACCTTTGAGCATAGACTGTGGCCACAGCTTCTGCCAAGCCTGCATCACAGAGAACAGTGAGAAATCAGGGCGCCACCAAGAACAAGAGAGCAGCTGTCCTGTGTGCCAGACCCGTTACCACCCCCGGAGCCTCCGGCCTAACCGGCACCTGGCCAACATAGCAGAGAGGCTGAGAGAGGTTGTGTTGGGACCTGGAGAGCAACCAAGGGTCGTTCTTTGTGCATACCATGGAGAGAAACTCCAGCTCTTCTGTAAGGAGGACGGGAAGCTCATTTGCTGGCTTTGTGAGCGTTCTCAGGAGCACCACGGTCACCACACGTTCCTCATGGCGGAGGTAGCCCCAGAGTACCAGGTGGGAGCCCGGGACAGAGGGAGGAATGGGGTCTGGCATGGCAGGGGATTTCTAACTTGGTGTTGTGCTCCCATCTGATCTCTTTTTCTTCCTCTCATTTACCTGGAGTAGGAACCTAGGAAATGCCCTCCTGGTCAAGAGTAGGGGTGTTACTCCTGGTACAAGACTGAGTAGAAGGAGCTGCTTGGGATGAAAATGAGGTCTGGTGGGTTGAGTGTGGGAGCTACATTGGCAGTAAAAATACTCTGGAGTCAGGTTCTTGCCCCGGCAGAAAGAAAACCAACCTATTTCTGCTGGTCCCTTCACTTGTCTTTAAAAGATACTTGGGTCTTCACAGTTTTTCCTCTCAGGACAGGACTGGCTTCTTCTGAGATCAGCACAGATTCTTACTTTGGTCCATGTTTAGCTACTGAGACAGCTTAAATCGTCACCTTGCTTGACCTGATGTTTTTCTTCCAGGAAATGTTCCAGGAGTCCCTGAAGAAGTTGAAGAAAGAAGAGGAGGAAGCTGAGAGACTAAAAGCTGCTATCAGGGAGAAGAGGGCATCCTGGAAGGCAAGAAAGATTTCATCTTAGGGTGTCCTAGGAAAGGAGCCAAGGCATAGGACCAGAGGGCAAAGTAGCCTGGTCCTCTCTCGCTCTCTTCTGACATTACAGCTGGAAGGACTTCAATGCATACCTTCCAACAAGGACAAGACTAGGGTTTAGAGAGCAGATATATCACACAACAACTTGGGTTTCTGATTCAGTTACATAGGAGGTAAAGCAAGGCCTCATTCATAGTTATGGATTGTAGTTTACTATTTCAGGCTCTTTGTTCTTCCGAAAATGCTAGTTCAGTATTCACAATTGGTAGAGGATGCTGATGCAAAGCCGTGAGAGGTTAGGCTGTCTGAAGTCTAGGCCTCACGTGGAAATCATAGCCTGTATCTAAAAGAGTTAGATAAGGTAGCCTGGGGCCAATGACCCGGGGAGAGCAGAAGGGAGGAAAAGGGAAGATGGAGTTCCACAGGCAGTACCCCTGCTTGCCAGTGAAAGCAGTGGTCAGCCTGAGTCACCCGCCCCCTGTCGAGGAGACCCTCAGGCCGCCAGATAGCAGCCTCTTTTTCTTCCCTGATGCTGAAGAATCAGATGGAGCCTGAGAGACACAGGATCCAGAAAGAGTTTAATCAGCTGCGAAGCATCCTGGACAAAGAGGAGCAGCGGGAACTGAGGAAGCTGGAGGAGAAAGAGAGGAAGGGGCTGAGCATTCTAGAGAAAGCTGAGGGTGAAGTGATCCGCCAGAGCCAGTCCCTCAGAGAGCTCATCTCAGACCTGGAGTTCCGGTGCCAGGGGTCCACTGTAGATCTGCTGCAGGTGAGACTTGGGACTCTTCACACCATCCCCCGAATACTAGGGTCAAGGAAAAAGCAACTTTCCTTCCTTTGCAGGACACAGAACTAACATCCTGGTGAGGGTAGAAAGCAGTTCCTTTGGCCCTGTTAGGCCTCTTCCCTATTGAACTGTGCAGAGGTCAAGGGACAAAGCGTAAGATAATTTCAGAGTGCAGAGCCCCATTTTTTTACCACTTAGGACTGGTCGCCCAGAAGTTAATTTGATACTGTGGAGAAGATGTGCTTCATCCAGGAGTGCTCTACACGAGTGTTCCTCAGTCTCAGCACTGTTGATGTTCTGTGCTAGATAAATGTTGTAAGGGATTCCTTTACCTGGTAGGGGGCTATTTGGAAACACCCCTGGCCTCTATCCATTTAACCTCAGAAGGACCGTTCCAGCCAAGCATGACCTTCAAACCCCTCCTGACATTGCCATGCATGCCCATGGGAAGCATATCCGTCTGTCCCCACCCCAGCGGAGAACCACTGTTCATTGGCTACCACTTGTCTGGGATGCTGGACTAAGGGTTTGTCCTGTGCTGTTTGTCCACTTGAGTCAAAGGAAAACATGTCAAGTGCAAGTTCTTAAAGATTACGTAGTTACCAGCCCTTCTTTGTTACCCCTGTCTGTGTTTCATTTGCGGGGTCAGTGGATAAATCTGAATCATGAGAGAGAGCCCTCAGCTCTCTTGAACACGTTGAAAATGAAGACTCGATGTGAAATCCGTGGTAAGGTAGGTGGTAAGAGGAAGATGACATTAAGAGACAACCATATGTTTAGTTTGTGTACTTTAACAGCTTCAGCCACCACAATAGAACGTGAGCTTCTCACAGACAGAAACCATTACCCTGTCATCACAGTCCAGGCCCAGGCACAATGTATGGCAGGTAGCAGATGATACAAATATGTAACATTACTCACACACACTTAGAAAAAATAAAGGAACCATGAACTGAGTCATTTTTTGATGCGTTCCCATGGGTTTTCAGGGAGAAGCAAAGTTCTCAGCTTTCCTTTGTGACCCCCACATTTGGATTATTTATTCTATATTGCTGTCATGTCATGGGGTGGTAGGAACGGGATGAGCTGGCCTACTACTTCCTGATTTAATCTGTCTTTTTCTTCCTAGGATGTGAATGATCTCACCCAAAGGTACGTATAAGAAAATGTGAGGTGATGCTTTTAGATTGCCAGACACTGCGATTATCCTGTAGTTGATCAGAAGGAAAAAAATCACAGGGCAGACACTAGTGTCTCAGTGCTCATCTTAGGAGAATCTGGGGACTGTATATAATGGAAACGCACTAGCTTCCACACTAGGGGAATTCGGATGCTGGGTCACTGGGAGTAAATGATTGTGGTGTCAGTGACCCACATAGTGTCCTGTCACATGACCCCATTTCCACAGTCTTCTACCTGTTTTCAGCAATGGTTTTCATAGTTATAGCTATCTCAGTATACACAGGGATGTTCTTTGCCTGTGTATTTTATCCAGAGGAAATTCCCACGGGCTTTCTTTCCCAAGGTCTGAGAATTTGCTCCGAGGAAAATTTGCCTTAAACTTCCAGTTCTGCACCAACACTGGAATAGCCCAGGCATTGCTGCCTCTTTCCTCAGGTTTCCGTGATTTCTATTCCAGTAAAAACACAGACCTGAGGCACAAGAAGAGTGGTTTTCACCCTGGAAGGGATCTCAATTCTTGTCTATCACAAGGTCTAGAATCTCATCCAACAAGGTGACATCTAAAGCTCTGCACACACCTGGCACCCTCAGGCTCTTCAAAGAAACATGAAGTTCAGAGCCTGTTGTCACTCTGAGTTTGTGCATGAGCACATGTCCTTTCTCCAGCTGCAGGCCTTGCTCCTGGGCTGGTCACAGCTGGGGCCCAAGCCCTTGGACTCTGAAGGAGTATTTAACACTAGCGAAGCCCCAGCACCAGCTTCCTGCTCTTCTTCCTGTCAGCCCAGACATCTGCAGTCTTTCCTGGTGGGCCTTCAGAGGGGGCACCAACATTTTAAGTATTTGCATCTTCTTTAGAGATAGCAAAGGATTTTCCAGGCTTTATCCTAATCCAGCTCCTACTATCCCTAGAACTTAAAAAAAAAAAGGGAAATTAATCGTACTTTGTAAAAGCTAACAACAAAAAACACAAAGAAAATGAGGCTCCAAGAGGTGAAACCTTCCCGAGCCTTATAGCTGGTGAGAAGCCAGTTTCTAGGCCAAGTCTTCAGACCCAGTGCCAGGGCTTTCTGCAGGACGATGCGCACATCTTCAGGGAAGAGTGTTGACGTTCGCAGTAGGCCAGGGAGGCAAAGGACAGGGGTGCTGGAAGAACCCAAGGTTAGCATTGTGGGGCTCAGAGGGTCTGTCGTCTTCAGGAGTGAGTTCTGGGCCCTGAGGAAGCCGCAAGTGCTCCCCACCAAGCTGAGAAGTGCCTTTCGAGCCCCAGATCTGAAAAAGATGCTGCAAGTGTTTCGAGGTGAGGAGCATCCAGAAAGAGTGGATGTGGAATGATGGTACTGGTAAGAAACAAATCGGATGGCGAGTAGAGCTGGTGTTCGGGGATAGAGGTGGTGAGGGAGGCCACAGAGGGAGGGACATAGTGTGCTAAAGAAGATGCAGTATGTCTTGAAGGAGGGGTGAAGTTACCAGATCTCATTCGCACAGCATTCCTCGCCATTCTCTTCAGTCTGGTGAGGAGAGAGATACCAGGCCCGAGCCACTGGTTCTAGTCAGTGATTTTTCATCTTGATTCTTCCAGAGCTCACCGACGTCCAGAGCTACTGGGGTGAGTAGAAACCATGGCTTCCTTGAACTAATTTGTCTGATCCCTTTCACGTGCTCCTCTTCAAAAGCATCCCCACATTCCCTCAGGTTTGAGGTATCCCTGCCTCCCCTGCCCGTGCCTGGCTCCATTTCCCCCCAGCCACTTCCTCTGTCCCCTCATCTCAGCGTGACAGGTCCCACGTGTGCATGGTTTTCTTCTAATGCTGTATACCTTTTCCTACAGTGGACGTGACCATGAATCCACACTCTGCTAATTTAAATCTTGTGCTGTCTAAAAACCGGAGACAGGTGAGATTCGTGGGTGCTAAGCTGACCGGACCGTCCCGTCTGGAAGAACATTATGACTGTAGCATCCTGGGCTCTCAGCACTTCTCCTCAGGAAAATACTACTGGGAGGTGGACGTGACGAAGAAGACTGCCTGGATCCTGGGAGTGTGCAGCAATTCCACAGGGCCTCCGTTTGCTTGCAGCCGCTATCCTAACAGTCAGAACACTTACTCCAGGTACCAGCCACAGACCGGATACTGGGTGATCGGCTTACAGCACAAACGTGAATACAGAGCTTACGAGGACTCCTCCACCTCCCTGCTGCTCTCCATGACCGTGCCCCCCCGCCGCATTGGGGTTTACTTGGACTATGAGGCTGGCACGGTGTCTTTTTATAATGTCACGAACCATGGCTTGCCCATCTACACTTTCTCCAAGTACTATTTCCCCACAGCCCTTTGTCCATACTTCAATCCTTGCGACTGCGTGGTCCCAATGACCCTGAGGCGCCCAGGACCTTGAACTTTCTGTACCCACACCCACTGCAGACTGGTGCCCTCCCCCTGGGGCTCGTGAGCCAGCCGCCTCGCTCATCTCTGTTTTCTGAGTTCTCGCCCCTTTTCTTTGCAACTCACTGAAGCACCCAGCCATGATCTTGAGCATCACTGACATCATGTGAAGGTGGGCTTGGGGAAGTTCGGGCATTTCACCCTTGGTGCAGGGAGTGAAATGTAACAAATTCTCTTCGATTGCTTCGCTGAGTTTTGTACTAAATGAGACATTGAATTCAACAGAATTCATTCTACAGTTTTTGAGAGATAATCATTTGTCGTTTTTATTGTTTCAAGTACATTGGTTTGTTTTAATTGTTAAACCTACCACAATGCCCTGATATGTTTATTTTTTACATGCAAAGGTAGATTTATTTTTGATAACACATTGTTTACTATTTGTTTTCATTTGTGTGTGCAAAAGAAGTTGACCTACGATTTTATGTATCTTTATCAGGTTTTATAAAAGTGTAATAATGAGCAAAGGAAATTACTGGGTAAATAAATATAAGATTGGCTGCTAAAACAAATCATAATTTTGATGGCTTTGAATTCAACTTGAAGAAATTGTAACTTCAGTTTTCACTATAACCTCTGCTACAACCTTCAGCCCAAGTTTAAGGATGTGAATCAGGCATGGTGGTGTATGCCTGCACTCCCCAGCATTCCAGAGGCTGAGGCAGGAGGAGTGCGAGTGCAAGATGAACCTGGGCTACCTAATGACTTCAGAGATGGCCTGCACTACATAAAGAGACCCTGCCTCCGAAAGACAGACAGAAAAATAACTGAAGGGTAGCAGTCGAAAAATGAAAAAGAAAATATGCCTTCCAAATGAATTTAATTTAAAAATGGAGGGGCAAGAAGAAAATGATCGATCTAATGCAAATTTTTTCTCTTTGAGAAAATGCGAAGAGAAAATCTAATCCAACACCCTTTTAGGGACAGGCCAGTTTATTCCAGCTTCTCTTCATGCCCAAACACAAGTGGTGAAGATGCTGCTATGACTTAGGAGGGTCTGTGCGTTTTCTGAGCCAACTATAAAAGAAGTGAGGTGGGTGTGAAGGTGGAGGGGAGGCAGCTGGTTTTCTGATGTAGCCAAGAGCCCAGGGCGGCTGTTGAACACGACAGATGCAAATGAATAGTCTCAATCGAGATGTCAAGTGTGCACACTGAATTTTCACAAGAAGTATATAACATCTCACTGACAACTTTTATATATTACAGTATTCTGGATATATTGAGTTCAATAAAATTTATTCACTTCACCTGTTTTGTTTTACTTTCTAATGTAGATACCTCAAAATTTGCAATCACATACTTGACTCACATTATTCTTGACAACTGTGGTCTTGAGCCTGTGATGAAATTTCCATCCCTAAGAACGGCCAGAATGACAGCTCGTGGAGTGGAGTACAGAAGGAACCACAAGACCCACGTTCAGTTTCACAAGGGCCCCTTTCCTCCCGCATCTACACTAAGGCAGAGAAAATAAAAGGTAACGGCGGAGAGAAGACCTCAACACATGCAGAAGTGCAGACTCTCTGAAGATGAAGAGGTCGTGGGGTCTGTCCCCTGCCTTTACCCCTAGGTCGGGCACTTGAAAGTTCCTCAAGATTTGAGGAAATACTGATTCAGCCTCCTGGTTCAGCACTGTGTCTGTGGTTGAGGAGAAATGCAGGTTACAGTAAAAGCCTACAGCTGGTTTGTTCCAGAAGAGAGTGATTGGGAAGTTCAAATCTGTGGAAGCCCAGCAGCCACATGTGTACTCCTTGTCCTGACCTATGTGTCAACTGGAAGAAATAGGAACGGAGGTGGCATGGGCAGATGGGCTGCTGTAGGTTTAGAAAGGAGAAAGATCTGCCTCCATCATATTCCCCTACCACTTACTATCCCACGCAGTGAGTTCCAGGCAGAAGGAATTGGGTTCCTCTTCTCATTGTGGAGTACTCAGCTCTCCACTGTAGAGTAAACCTGAAGCTCACTGGAAAAACCCAAAGAGGTGTATCCAGATATGCTGGGAATGACCTTAGATAGTCATGCAAGCAAAGTGCTTGCTGGAAACTTGAGATACCTGGGGAAGGTCTGCACAAACTAAAACTTGAGGACAATTATTAGTGTAAGCAGGCAGCCTTGACACCTTTTCCTGAGGGATCTTGGGCAGAGGCCTCTCACTTTGACTTTTTGGTATGATAAGAGTGTTGCAAACTTCTATTAAAAATAAATTTTTAATACTTACATTTAAAATACATACATATTCATGGATCAAATACTAAAGATTTTCTTGTCCATGTATGAAATCTAACCTGACTGTTAACAATGGATGAATGGCTCTGTTGCCGGTGGCATTCCTGTGAGATTTACTTTATACTTGGCTCTACCATGTGCTGGGACATTGTTGGCATCAAGAGAGCAAAAGGATAAAACCTTGAGACAATTTATTTTTTAAACTCTTAGCTCATAAATAGGATTCACAATGTCTGTTTATTTTCTGTTGCTGAGAATAACCATGTGGCCATTCCTAAAAGAAAGGAGGATATTTTAATTCTTTAGCCATATATATATGATCAGGTTTCTAAAGCAGGGAAAATTTTGGTGGAGCCACAGTGCCCTGTGAACTCTAAAAGGAGAACATGGAACTTTAACTCTTCTCAGTATGGAGCACTCAGGATCCCAGCTTCTCTCCTGTAGCTGTTTATTCCATTCTATTTTACCAAGTATCATCACCAGAGTTCTACACAAGTATAGTCATAATATTTTTCAACAAGTTAGTCCTTGCTAGAAGTGGCATTTAAATTCGATTCTAATTTAAAGGGAAAGATTGTGTGTGTGTGTGTGTGTGTGTGTGTGTGTAAGGGTAGCTTTCGTACCACCTTTATTCGACATATATTTTACACATACAAAAGTATAAGCTGGACATGATGGTGCAAGCGTATAATCCCAGCCCTCAGGAGGCTGAGGCAGAAGGATCCCTGCAAGTTTGTAGCCCAGCCTGGGCTAAGTAGTAAGTTCAAGTCCAGCCTGGACTACATAGCAGGACCCTGTCTCAAAAACAAACAAACAGATGTATAACGTGATAAGCTTTGACTAGTGAAGCTATCGCTATCAAGACAATAAATATACTGACTCGTCAGAAGTCTCCCCCTACCCTTTGTTAATCCCTCTTTTTCCCATCCCTCTCTACACCTGTCCTCCAGCAAACTGCTCTGGTTTGTCACTATAGCTTGCATTTCCTAGAATTTTATATAAATTGAGTCACAGTACTGCCACCAAATCATTGTGTATGTTGAGTCAATTCGTCTTTATTGTTTGAGAGTTTTATGTTGTGTGGTTATATAATTTATTCATCTGCTTGGTAGATACAGATTATTTCACTTTTTTTTTTGGACTATCAGAAATAAAACTTATGAACATTTGTTGTAAAAGTTTCTCAATAACTGTAGTTTCATTTCTTGGATAGTCAATTCATTTTTATTGTTCGAGAGTTTTCCACTGTGTAGTTATATAATTTATTCACCTGCTTGGTAGATACAGATTTTTTCACTTTTTTTTTTTTGGACTACCAGAAATATAACTTACGAACAGTTGTTGTAAAAGTTTCTCAATAACTATGGTTTCATTTCTTGGATAAATAGCTAATAGCAAAATAGGCTGAATAATTCTTTTTAAAACCTGCCAAGCTATTTTCTAAAAAATTTGTGCCTTTTTACCTCTAGCATCATATAAAACTTCAGTTACTCAGTCAGGTATTGTAGTGCATTCCTATAACCCCAGCTCTACAGGAGGCCAAGGCACGAGGATCCTAAATTTCAGCCCAGTCTGAGCAATTTCACAAGATAGGAAGATTCTGTCTCAAAACTAAAGAAAGGAGAAAAAAGAAAGAGGAAGCTAGGAAAGTAGATCAGTGCAAAGACCCTAGTTCAATCCTCATTACCTCCAAATGCAACAAAAAAATTTTACCTGTGTCGTTTTTCAAGAAATAGAGTAACTTGATTGAAGAATTACTAATACTTTTTTAATTATTCGTAAGTTTAAAAAATCTTTACTCTAAAGCAAAAGGCCTTCCCATCCTAGTGACTTCCCTTTTTACCTCGCTAACACACTAGTTAAACATTGATTTGAGGGGTAGCTTAGTAGTGGAGAAAATGCTTAAGATGCACAAGATGCTGAATTTAATTCCCAGCACGCAAGTAAAAAAGAATAAATTAATATTCTTTTCCCATATGTGGTTATTGTTTGGAACTTCTATATTTATTCTGCTGGGTTTTCTATGAGTACTCTGGATATCTGATTTGGTGTCTGAGAGTACTTGTTTAAAGAAATTTTCAGCCGTTGTTACTTCAAACATTTCTTCTGCTCCAATTCCACTAAAATTTACCTTCTCTTTTTAGTATTACAATTCTGCACATAACATATCTTTGGAAATCTGTACCAGATACTGGTTTTCAATATTTCTCTTTTTGTATTTCAGTGAGGGAAGTTTCTATGGAAATCTCTTCAAGTTCATGGATGTTTTCATTATGTCCAATCTGTTGCTAGAATTTGCCCCATAATCTCAAAAGGTGCAAACCATGTCTTTAGTATTAGGACGAGAACCACTACTGATAAACCCATCCAAAGTATTTTTCAGGCAGGGCACTGTGATTCATGCACATAATCCCAGGACTGAGAAGGCTGAGTCAGGAGGATCTCATGTTCCAGGCAGCTTCTATATAACAAGACCTTCTCTGAAAATTTCTTTTTGTTTTTGTTTCTTTTAGTGATTTTGATTTCTAGCCCTTTCCTTTCTTGGATGTTCTGTCTCTCTACTTAGGTAATTTATTTATTTTTCATGGTATCTATCTTTTACATTATACTACTTATTAACCATTATACTACTTGACTTATTAACCATAATTATCATTATTAATCATAACGATAACCACTATTATCATTCCAAAACCTATGTCAAGTGTACAATCTTGAGTCCAGTGTCGATGTTTATTTTACATTGTCTCTTCAGAATGTCGTTTTGCCTTTTCACAAACCTTCCTTTTGTTGTTGTAAGCCTGATGTAGGAACTTAAAGGACTTTAGAGTGCTGTTTCATGTTAATTTGAGTAGGCATGGGGCTGTGTTTACTGGTTCCTGGAGCTGTAGGTGTTTTAGAGACTGAAATTCTGCTGAATTTTCTTATCCTAAACCAAACCTTTTTTTGGTAAAGAAGCACTTGGCCATAATTATAATGGCCAAGAATTTTCTTTTTTCCTGTGTTTAATTTTCTACTATTTTGATGAAGAGTTTTGTGTCTATATTCATAAGGAGTTTTGGCATAGTTTTTCTTTTCTGCTGTTTTTGTATGATTTTAGTATCAGGGTGGGACTGCCCTCATATTGAAAGAGAAAAACTGTACAAGAAAAATTGTTCCTTTAAAGTCTTTGTTCTTTTTTAAACTGTCTACTCTGTAACTACTCTGTAATTACTTTCTTGACCCCTGTAATCATGAGAGCATAACCAAACATGCAAGATGCCTCAATGTGACAAGCTTCAT